TTTGTTATTCTCAGTGAAAAACAGGAAAATAAGCTGGAGATGTATTTGCAGAAGGACATGAACCTCGTTTACCTTGAAATTTAGCAGAAGGCTAGCCAAATCTGCTCACCCATGACACTTTAGTGGCAGCAACAACCTTACTTGCCTGGATGAGGAAGAACACATAGAGAAGAGAAGGGATATGAATCATATCGCACCTGGCAGAAAGAATTGATGCTCCCATGTGTCTTACAGTAGAAGCCACTCCCTAGCAGACCCCAAGAGAAGATTCTCTTGATTGGTGTGGACTGGGAAGGGCACTGGGCATTATGGTAAATGGAAAGGTATCCTGAGGATATGTATGTTATAAAATATTACGTATGTGGAATAAAGAGTACTGTTTTGATCAGCATCCATTCGGAGGTGATTCATAGAAACAGTTTATTGGAAGATGTTGTATGATTGGTGTGATAAAAACAAAACAGCTTTAACAAGGAAAGGTTTCTTTTGGTTCATGGTTTAGTTAAGATGGAATACAGTTCCTCATGATGGGAAATCATGCACACTGGCATGCATGGTAGTTTATCACACTACTTCAAGAGTCAGAAAGCAGAGGAAGATGAATGCCCATGTACAGCTTGCTTTCTCCTCTTACTCAATCTAGGTCCTCAGCCCTGGGGATGGTCCTGTTGACACTCAAGGGGGAAGGGGTGGTCTTCTTATTTTCGTGAACTTTCTCTGGAAATGCCCATATAAATACATCCTGAAATTTGTCTCCTAGGTGATTCTATAGCCTGTCACATTGACAATAAATATTAATCATCATAGACACTAATGTCTCCCATGCTCTATTCACTTACTTCGTTATATGAAACATTTCGTTGGTAGTTATGACTTGGGCATATGGACACAGACTAATTATTTATCTTGTTCTTTGGAAAAGAAATATAATACTCCTGTTGAGGTAACAGATACTCAGTAGATACTGTTAGGAGAATATGTAGCTCATCTTTTAAGAGATGTACACCCCAATACAAATGAAATGAAAATAGTGTTTATGCATCATGAAGGCACTGCAATTTTTTTTTGGCAATGGTTGACACATACGTGCAGTGTGCTAATGAATCACTGGACGAGCTTAATAAAAATAAGATGTGTTTAAATAGATGCATGGATTCAAAACTAGAAATGCTTAGAATGGTTCAGGACTAATCTGGGATTATTGGCAAAACCCTGTCAAGTACGAAAGAAAGGGAAGAGAGAGATGGGGTTGGTGAGCAAGAGGACCTGGTGCCCTCTATAGGGAAAGGAACGGGAGGGGAAAAAGAGGGTGAAGAAGGAAGGGGGAGGAAAAGAGAAAAGGAAGACAGAGGAGAAGGGAAAGGAGGAGTAGGAAAAGGAGGAGGAAATGGGAGAGAAAGATGCCCGGTGGCCTTGAGTCATCCTGGCAGCCTTGTGAGAGCAGCAGGGAGCATGCCCTTGTCTCATCGTGTCTTGCAGTTTTGCAGATGTCTAAAGATATTAACTCTGATTCAGAGAAGTTGAACCAACTCCCGAAAATCATCCACCCACAGCAGGACAATCTGTCTGAGCCACTGAACATCTCCAGGAAGGGTTCCTCAGAGGACTATCTCCAGTTCCAGATCTCTGCCCTCCTGGAGAGACAGGGGCAGATGGCTATCAAGCTCTGCAAGGAATTTCTCATCCACACCTCTGGTAATTTGACTTACAGCTGCAGAAAGGCCAGATCAATCCTGTCACCCTGACCAAAGTCCCCACATGCAGCACACTATTAGATGCTGTTTTCTTTAGCAATTCCTTGACCATACCATTTTAAATTTATAAAGGACAAGGAAATACAGGTGTTTCTTTAATCAGAAGATACAGAATTTTGGAATCATTTCCAAATGCTACCAGCCAGGATACTTCTCCCTTTATCAGCCAATTTTAGATGTTCTGGTTATCATAAGAACATTAAAATCTGGACCTGCCAAGGCAATTTCCATTGCCCAACCCCAGCCGGGTTACTCTGCTACCAGGGGGTCCTGGCACAGTATGCTCCAGAGTACTTAGGCTCATAACTGTTGTCTGTGTGCATGCCTCAGTTTCCAAAGGCTTCTGCAGCCACCCCACAGAATGTGTACTTTTGAGTATAATTTCCTTTTCAGACCATAAGTGCAATCCTTGTCCCAAGAGCTGGCAATGGCATGGAAACAGTTGCTATTATTTCACACTCCATGAAGAGAAATCCTGGAGTGACAGCAGAAAAGACTGCACAGACAAGAATGCCACTCTGGTGAAGATTGACAGCCTCAAAGAAAGGGTATGATTGACTCTCTTCCCCCAGCTATAGGAATTACCCACACAGTGAAAAATAAATACGTGATGCTTCTTTTTCATGGTAGGAAATTAGTGAATTCTGAAAGAGATCTAATAAATGAGTAGAGGAACCAGGCGTGGAACCCAGGACGCGGCACATGCTAAGAAAGTGATCTATCGCTGAGCTATAACCCCGGACATAAGTGAATTTTTAATCTTGCCTCCTCAAACCAGCAGATGACCTCTGACTTGTTCTGCTTTCTCCCTCCCCCAGGATTTCCTTCAGTCACAGCCATCGCTCACGCTCTCTTTCTTTTGGCTGGGATTGTCCTGGAACTCAACTGGCAGGCACTGGCTATGGGAAGATGGTTCGTCTCCCTCTCCAGCCTTGTGAGTATCTAACTGTTGGGGCTGGGAGATCAAGATTTCCATAGAACTCTGAGAAAACTGATGTAAATGGAAAGAATTATAAGCCTAGATATGAAAAAAAAAAAAAAAAAAGAACTATACTGTTTAGAAAGAGAAAGCTTTTCATCAGCATACATTGAGGGCTGGTAAGTAATTCCATCTGTTTGCCAAACTGAGGGCAATGCTCTGAATTTCGTGTGCTGGTCAGCTGTTTTCCTCATTAAGCATGTATGGATAAGAGTACCTTCAAAGTACTTTGCAAACATACACCCTTGAAAGATGCACTTTCATATCTCCACTCCAAAATAAAACATGTTATCACAGAGAGATTTGGTGACATGCCTAAGATTGCCCGGCTCAAACCCGATCAAATCAAGATGGAACATTTTAGATCCCCTACTCATGCACTCAGCTATTTTGCATTGCATCCTTTCCAACCTTCAAGGGTAGTGGTTGTCATAAGGATGCACATTTAAACATTGACCATTACTCATATTAAGGAATTGTTGCCATTTTCTCTGAAGTGCCTGATTGGCTTCTGGATTAGCTTCAGGGTGCAGAGGTTATGTGACAAGTGTCCTGACAAAATCTACTGTCGAGGAGTCTCGACGACAGTGTTGAAAGCACACATCAAATCTCTACAATTTGGGAAACTGAAGCTTTGCAACTATTTAAAGTAATGACAGGATAAAAGTCAGCATGAAAAAAATTGTTTCAAAGTCTTGCCCAGTGTGATCATCTGTACTTTTCAAAAGACTCCTAGGAGGTCCAGACTCATTGGGAGCCAGAAACCCAGGTGCCACATGGAGTCAGGCTGGGCTTACAGGGGAAGCTGGTGGGTGTATGGTGTGAGCTGGGAGATGAAAAGTAGAGTTTGCTTCATCTACAAGACAGTACCATGGGATAAATCCTTATTTTCTCAAGAACAAGTTTTGTTTTAACTTTAATGTTTAAAAATTGTTTTTTTTTTCACTTATTTATTTATCTGGGGAGGTGAGGGGTGTATGGTTCCAGAGCACACAAATGGAAATGAGAGGACAACCTGCAGATATAAGTTCTCTACTTCCAGTATCTGGGTTGAGGGAATTGAACTCAAATCATCAGGCTTGGTCGCTGAGTCATCTCCAAATCCTCTTTTGTTTGTTTTGTTTTGTTTTAAAGCAAGGACTGGAAAGATCACTCAGTGGTTAAGAGCATCACCTACAAATAACTAACAACCACCTATAACCCCAGCTCCAGGAGGGTTGCCCCTTTTTCAGCCTCTGTGGGCACTTACACACATGTATGCACAGATACCCAGACATAAATATAAATGACAATAAAATGAGTTTTTTACAAGAATAAAAGTTTGAAGGGTCACATGGCTTCAAAAGTCTTTGAAAGACTCTAAAACAAAGACAAAAAATGGCGGACAGCATACATCAAAACGTAATTGAGATAATTGTATATGTAATTTTTACATTAAATAAGATTTGATATCACTATTATATCCCTGCTCCGCTCCAAGGACTCAAGCCATCCAACTTAAATCTGTTTTACTTTTCCATGTATGTTGTCAACATTTTGTAAATTGAGTTATAGTTATTTCATTTTTACTCAAATCTGCTTGGAGTCAGATTTGACTCAGATATGACTCACCGAAGCCTTGAATAACAAATAATTATATGTCTGTTCTTTTCTCCCTAAAGAACCTAGAGACTTTTCTAGGACTTTTCCTATTCAAATATGTGTCTCACAGGCTCTTGTCACCATTGCGAGCCATATTTGGCTAGTCTATTTTCACACTAGTCACAATGACAAAAGGCTCACTCAAAACAACACAAAAAGGGCAGTTACTCTTTTCTAGAGCAGAGTAATCAGGTGGACAGTGCTCACAGCTGACCTGAGGAGAGAGGGGTTGCTATACCGAGACGGTCCACAAGTGGCACGCAACACAACGTAAATGCAGTACAGTCCCCAGGTTACAGTGTACATTTCTCCTCTCCCATACAAATGCTAAATATTCTTGATTTATCTACTGGCTCCTGTAAACATATAGAGGAAATGGACTATGTTTTCTGTTCAGAGCCCACAGATGATGACAGTCGTTCATGCCCCTGTGAGATAACCCAGCTCTCTATACCCATTCTAGAGCGACTGTACTTCAGGCTCTTCCTTGGATCCTGAAAAAGGACTCTCTGACTGAGACATATTCAAACAGTAATATGTAATAGGCTTAGCTCTTCTAAATAAAAATAACATGGCATCCCAGGGTGCATCACTTGAGAAAGCGGTGCTTGTAACACACATTTAGGCTGAGCACGCATGATTTTTGGTTGTGAGCCTAGCCTTTAACGGCTGAGCCATCTCTCCAGCCCTGAGCACGCATGATTTTTAAGGACAACATTTAAGTGTTGTCATTAAAGTTGAACCAAGAAGCTGGACATGATCTCTTGATAACCCAATCTCATAAGCCATTCATTTCCTTATTCAGACTCTTATCTTATTTTCTAAAGTATATATAAAAGCATGCACAATTAGGTTTTTGCATGGTAAAATGTAATAACATTTTTCATGGCATAAATTTACTTTTCTAGTTTTCATACTAAAATTAGAAATGTAAAAATAAACTATCATTTCTAATGTAATTTGCACTGGGTGAAATCCATTAGTGGAATTCCATATTACTACTGGGAAAAATAATTTCCAAACCATAGTTTAAATAGTCCTTTTTATTGAATTTCAATGCAGTATATTTTGATCATGGTCTCCCACCCTCATCTTCTCCCAGGTCCTCTCCACCTCGATGCTCTTGCAACTCCACACCCCCTTCTTCTCTCTCTTTAGAGAGCAAACAAACCAATATAAAATGTGAGCAGCAAGCATGGATTCTCTCTCATGGAGTAGGCCTTAAATTCAATCAGATAGTGCTGGGTTACAACTTCATACCACTATTGCAGTAATATTTCATGCAGAAAGAAATTTTTTAAGAAATTTTTTTCCCCTGGGACCACTACTAACCTGAAATAAAAAACTTAGACATGCTGGCATTACAGATGCTGATGCTTTGTGGGGTTGTGGGTCTCACAATAGTGTGAACTTTCCTTCTCAGGGTGACTGAGAACACTTACTTCTGATTAAATTTCAGATACAATGGTTTTAATGAATTTAAATTGATTCCTTTTCAGATTTAGCTATCAGGAGCATGCCAGGTTCAATGGATCCAGAGGGTGTGCTTATTTTGAAAGAGGGAATGTTTACATTTCTCGCTGTAGTGCTGAAATTTCTTGGATTTGTGAGAAGACAGCTTCCCTGGTGAAGATTGAAGATTTGGATTGATCTGAATCTAAGTGTATCAAGAAGAAGGGCCTATTGTGAAGCCATGGGAGAAAGGAGGGAAGCTATGGTATTTGATTCAAATACCGATTATAAAGTGACTGTACTTCAACTGTCCCACAAACAAACATGCTTGACAGAGCATTCTCCATTTCTCTGTCTGACCCTCTGACCCGTGTTCTCATTACTCAGTCTTACAATGATCCTGAGGACCCAGGGAGGAACATGTCATTTCGGTGTGTCTCTCAGTAAACATTGTTTCTTGCTTTATTCTTACACGTTTACACACTCAATGACATGGTGATACTTACATGTTAATCATCAGACCAACCTAGGCCACCGTAAGGGAGCAAATTCCCAGAAAGCCTGCCTAAACAGGCAGGACTTTGAGAGAGCCCACAGGACAGGAGCTAGGACAGCAGTCCTGGAAGGCTGAACTGGAAATGCTTTATCATTTTAGAAATTGTCTGACTGAACCCATTTAGCAGCTAAGTATCAGTCTCCATGTGCAGGGAAACTCTGCTTCGTCTTCCTATGAAGCTACACCACCAATTCTCATAGTGGATAGCCCAGATGAAGTAGAATGAACACTGTCTTAAATACTTTTATTATTCATTAAAACTAATAATATCCAGGCTGTTAATTTTGCACTCTAGGTACTATCAGAATAATACAGATGTTTATTCTCTTACTATTAGCATGCCATTTCATTTTCTTTTCTGTGTGCATGTATGAGTATCATGAATGTGTGTGTGGGTAAAAAGAATAGTAATTAACTTGTGGTACCAATTTGAACAATGGCCTAATATTTACTGGAAAATGGATTGCATTCTGAATGCTGTCACAGTCACAGTTTATTGAAGCAACAACTTCACAATGCTAGTAAGTAGCTTGTTACCTTTAAAATTATGACCTTATTAGCATATAATATATATCCAATGGGATTCTAGAACAAGGGATAAGGTTCAATGTAAATATCTAATAAGACTACAAACTGAATGTAAGCACACATTTTAAAACATAGGTTATTACTTTCATTATAAATGTTAAGTGCAGAGGGTCTACCAATTCTCACTCAAGCACGAATCACAAATGAAATAAACATATAATGAAATAGATGCTTTATTCTTCCATTTCTCATAAGCAGGTTCCTGTCATTCTCTCACACAAAGTGCAATTACTCATTAATTATCAACACCCCCCCAAAAAAATCAAAACGCTTCTCTGACTCCCACACGTTTGGGTTTCTCTTTATTCCCATGGGAAAGATGATTTCTCCTGCTTTCCCTCCATCCCCACTCAAAGGATCTGCTATTTATAAGCTAATCATTTTTGCCTGTTATTTTGTTCCCATGAAGAGGTGATACTTTTCTCCTGGCATCTTGTATCTTTAATGCCTATCTCATGGTCACTCTGACTTTTACCCTGGTTCGAAAAGAAACTTTGTCTAACCTCACCGAGGCTCTGGATTTTGATAAGGTCAGACCAGTCACCCGGTCCTCCTGATTCTTGCTGTCATCACACCATACCCAGCATGCTTTGGAGAAATAAGGGTATCTATATGCATCCGTTCCTGGGGATCCATTGCCTTTGTGTGTTGGAGCATCTCAGCATAGTCTCTTGCATTCTGATAGCTGGCTTCTGAGATGGGAATTGTTCCCAGAAAATTTCTTTCCTCTGTTTCTCTGTCCCCTAAGAGATAATAGAAAGATAGGTGTATGATGGTAGATAGGCAGATGAGTGATAGATATTTGTAGACCATGTTGCAGATCTACAGGATCAAATGCCTGGGAAGGTAGGACTGGAGAAATTCAAATCTGATTGTAGGCTCACAGCCTGAATAAATGGTCTCAGTACAAATTCCCTGAGCAGACAGGTTGTGTAAGGTACTTTTCTGTTGTTGTGATTAAAACACCATGACCAAGGCAACTTATAGAAGAAAGGGTTTGTTTGGGCTTATAATTCCAGAGTGATGTGGGTAGGCCTGGCAAAAAGTAGGAGGTATGGTACCAGATCAGAAAGATGAAAGATCATGTCTTTTTCAATAATTTACTTAACTTTATTTTATTTGCATTGGTATGAGCGTGTCAGACCACCTGTAACCAGAATTACAGTTTGAGCTGCTATGTGGGCACTGAGGGCGCCTGTGCCCTCTGGAAGAGCAGCCAGTGCTCTTCACCTTTGAGCCATCTCTCCAGCCCTGAGAGGCCACATCTTCAACTGAAATCCACAAAGCAGAAAGAACTGGAGGGTAAAATGAGGCTTTGTACTTGGAAAAGCCTGTGCCCCACTGACATCCTTTCTCCAGCAAGGATACACCTCACAAACTTCCTCAAACAGTGTCAGCACCTAGGGGACAAGTGCTCAAATGCCTGAGCTTATGGGGGACAGTCTTATCCAAAACTCAATACAGATAACAAATATTGGTGTCAGTGTCAGAGTAAATGGCTCTTTTTGAAGCACAAACCAAAAAAAAAAAAAAATCTTATTCAGAGAACATGGCACGAGAGAAGGAATAAGGGAAGTTAGGTTTATTATTGTTGTTATTATTATTATTATTACTATTACTGTTGTTGTTGCTGCTGTGAAGAGACACCATGACCACAGCAACTCTTATAAATGAAAACATTTAACAGAGTGCCTCGCTTCCAGTTTCAGAGTTAGCCCATGCAGGCTGATGTGGTGCAGGAGTGGAGAGTCCTACATCTTGGCTCAGAAGTTGACTGACTGTCACACTGAGTGAAGCTTGAGAAAAGGGACCTCAAAGATCACCCCCACAGTGACGCACTTCCACCAACGAGGCCACACCTCCTAATGGTGCCACTCCCTTTTGGGGCCATTTTGTTTGAAACCACTAAAGAAAGCCTGAGTCCAATTGAACAGGGTTCATACGAACTCACAGAGACTGAAGTAGCAAGCATGCAACTTGTACTACACGGATCTGCACCAGATCCTCTGCGCAAATATTACAGCTTTCGGTTTAGAGTTTGTTGTTGTTGTTTTGTTTTGTTTTTCCATTTTTATTTTTGATTTCATTTTACATTCCAACCACAATTCTCCCTTCTACCCTCCTCTATCAGCTCTCCTGTAGCTCACCCCCAGTCCACAGCCTTTACCTCCTCACAGGTAAAGGCTCTCATGAGAAGGCAACACAGTCTGGTACAATAGCATGGGGCAGGGCCCTGCCCCTCTGGCATGTTAAGACTGAGCATGGCTTTCCATCATAGGGAACGGGCTCCAACAGGTTAGCTCATGTACCAGATTTGTATTGTGGTCCTACTGCCAGAGGCACCTCTGATAGTCCAAGCTTTACATCCGTCTCCCACACATGGAGGGCCTAGTTCAGTCCCCTAGAGTCTCCACAGTTGTAGGTCTTGAGTTCATGAGTTTCCACTAGCTTGGTTCAGTTGTCTCTGTAGATGTGTATTCACTCAGAAGTGGATATTAGATGTAAAGCAAAAAATAACCAGACTGAAGTCCACAGCTCCAGAGAAGCTAGGTAACAAGAAGGACCCTAAGAGAGATGCATGGATCACCCTGGGAAGAGAAATTAGATTTCTACTGGGCAAACTGGGGGTGGGAGGTGGTAAGAGGGAGAAGGAAGAGGAGAACAGAAAGGATATCTTTGTTTGTTTGTTTGATTTTGTTTTTTGAGAGACAAGGTTTCTCTGTGGCTTTGAAGGTTGTCCTGGAACTATCTCTGTAGACCATGCTGGCCTCAAACTCACAGAGATTCACCTGCCTCTGCCTCCTGAGTGCTGGGATTAAAGTCCCGTGCCACCAACACCCAGCCAGAAGGGATATCTTAATAGAGAGAGGCACTATGGGTTTAGGGAGAAAGCTGGCACTAGGGTAACTTCCACGAATCCACAAGGAGGACCCCCGCTAAGACTCCTAGCAACAGTAAAGAGGATACTTGAACTGGCCTACCCCTGTAATCAAATCAATGAACACTCCAACTATCATCATAGAGCCCTCATCTAGTAATTGATGGAATCAGATGCAGAGATCCACAACCAAGAACCAAGCTTCAGGACTCCAGGCGAAGAGAGGGAAGAAGAAACATATCAGAAAGGGAGGTCAAGATTATAATGGAGAAGTCTACAGTTTATTTTTTTATGAGACTCCTGAGTGTGCGAATAAGAGAGTCTTTGATTCTTGTGCCTTCTCTTGGGGTTCTTTTCCTTATGATAGTTTTTGTCTTATCTTATTGTATTTTATTTTGTTATGAAAAATAGAGCAAATAAGTTTTATGCTTAGGATTTTAAGGCAAAGATAGAAAATGACATGAAATATGACTGTGTTTAATTTTCATCATTGAAGTCAAATCATAGATATAAACACACCATGAGACCAAGAATAATACTATAATCTAAAAATATAAAAATAAGCAATTTGTATTGATTTTAAAAATACTTCTTATGTTAAAGGAACAGCCAGATTACCCAGGCCTGCTTTATAAACACTATAAAATAAGTCAGGCATTAAAACAGACAAACATCTCCTGATGACCATTGATAGCCAGACTTTTTTTAGCTAACAATTTATTTTTTTTTTTTTTTATTTCAGCAGTAAGCTCAGGCAATACCATTTGGATCAGGTACACCTTTTTCTAGCTTAACATATAAACTCCTGTCTCTCTGCTTGGGGTTCAGGTGTCCTCCATCATGCTCTTATCCAAGACATGATTCTATCCATGAGCCCTGATGTGCTATGCTTCATGTGAGCCCGGATCTACTTGTTCAGTTTCTTGATGCCTCCCTACGTTTACCAGTTGGTTCGTGATACATAGAATTTTTTCTAGAAACAATTTTACAGTCAAGGAGATCAAGGGAGATCAAAAGAGAAACAGAAATGATGGTAATTTTGCCATTGTAACCAAAATAGCTTGGAATTGACATAAAACAAGCACATAAAAGCAATGGCATAGAATGTAGAACCTGAAGCAAATGTATACATTTGCAGTGGGTTTACTTCTGGTAAGAAACTGTCTTGCCTGTAAATTATAGTGGGAAAGCTGGATTTTAATCTGCAGATAATGAAGCTGAACTTCTTACTCTCCTTTTATTTTAATCAATTTCAATACATTAAGGATACAAATACAAGACTATGAACTGAAATTACTGAATAAAGCATAGGAGAAATGGTTCAGAAAAATTGCTAAGGGCAAAGAATTTTTGGATATGTCCCCCAAAGCACAGGCAAGGAAGACAAAATAGACAAGTGGAGTTATGTTGAACTTAAAAACTACCTGTCAATGAAAACAGTTAACTAAATGAAAAGAAGGAGTACAGGATGGGGGAAATATTTACAAAGTACTCATGTGACAGAGGATTATGACCAAGAAAATACAAAGAACTCAAACAATTCATTAACAAAATAAAGCAAATAACTTGATAAAGAATGCATCTCATTGATAAATAAATAAAGAAAATGTGATATGGAGAAAGGATAAGTCAAAATTATGTGAGAAGGGAGGAAAGTATGAAGAAGCTGGCTATGGGAAGAGTTGGGGCAGGGGTGAATGTATCCAAATAATGTTTGAAAAATTCTCAAAGAATTAATAAAAATATTATTTTTTTAAAAAAGAAAAGGCTGAGAGGAGGGATCACTAAGAGTTTGAAACCAGTCTACCCTGGGCTATATAGAAAATATAAGGCATAGCTTTAGCAACATAGTGAAGTCCCTGTCATGCAACATAATCTAAAACGCCTACCAATAAATAAATAATGAGAATATAAAACATATATTATTGAACCATAAAGATGGAATGTTAACATTTTTAATATCATTAATAAAACCAAAGAGTGTATTATGTCAAGTGAAGTTTGTTATGTTAAATTAATCAGGAATAGAAAAAGCAAATGCCACATGTTCTCATTTACATGTGGAAACTAAAACATTATTTCATATAAGTTGAGTGGAGGCGATGGTTACAGAGTCTAGGATGAGTGTACAGGAAGAATAGAGATGGCCATAGGTACTTGGTGCAGTTTACTGAAAAACATAACTTCAAATATTCCATAGTACATTAGATAACTATAGTTGGTAACACATTCTATAATTTAAAACATCCTAGTAGAAACTTTGAATGTTCTGAAGCATAAATAAATGATAAATATATGAGGAGATGAAAGTGACAGCTTGTAAAGAGTACGGTTTTTCCACCCGCCGTCCGAGTCTTGTCCCGCTGCCTACAACAGCCCTAATTATTTTAGAGACTCTGTATTTGATATCAATGCTGTTGGCCAGGTACTAGTTTCTTATCGGCCCCAGCTCTGTCTTAAGTATTAACCCATTTCTATGTATTTCCACATGGTCTTACCAGCGAGAGGCGGCTGGTGAGTTCAAGTCTCTCCAGACTCTCCATGTTGACCCTCCTTCCTATTTCCTCCTTGTCTCCTAGTCCCTCCTATCTTCCTTTCCTATTGGCCAACAGTGCTTTATTCATTAACCAGTATGAGAAACATATATACAAA